ACGATTCAGTGCTTCAGTGAAGGCCCTTAGGTCTTCCTGTCCAATTTGCACTTTTCCCTGGTACATAAACTGTAGCAAGTTACTTTAAACGATAGTAACTATTATAACTTTTCCGTCTCCAGCGAGTCCTTGCCTTTGCAACGATTCTGCTGCTTCAGTGAAGGCCCTTAGGTCTTCCTGTCCAATTTGCACTTTTTCCTGGTACATAAACTGTAGCAAGTCTCCTCGTGTCTCGCAAGTTACGTTTGTCAAAATCACTATAGGACGTTGACAACGATTCGACTCAAATTTTCTTTAAATATGGGCCACAGCCCAAAGAACCACTTTACGTGCTTCTATGCATTTTCCATGCGATGCAAGCTCTACGTCTACTAAATCTTGGCTGTTCCATAATGGATCCATTCCCGACTCATATGCTCGCGGAAATCATTCCAAAATAGTGAAAAAGATTTTCTGACGCCACATCCCATTTAAATTTTCTTTAAATATGGGCCACAGCCCAAAGAACCACTTTACGTGCTTCTATGCATTTTCCTTGCGATGCATCCATTCCCGAACTCATATGTTCGTAGAAATCATTTCAAAATAGTGAAAAAGATTTTCTGACGCCACGGTCAATTATCTTCAAAAGGTATATTCAATTCTTTTCCCTCTTTTATATGTCCATCTCAGTATGATGTGCCAATTTATGAAGTTAGCCAACAATTGTATAAAGAATTAAATTTTTGTTAAATAAAAGAACTTAGAAATATATGCTGCCGAAGTTAAAAACAAATCTGTAGGAAATATCAAATAATCAAATCAAATAATAATCGATCAATCAATCAATAGTCAAATATCAAATAAGGTGTTAGTATTTATTTTTTTGAAAAATTAAGCTGTATTAAATTCTTTTCCTTTTTACAAATGAAACGTTATTTATAAATCCAAATATCCCAATTAACTTTAATTAATTATTAGTCAAACAAAGTCATATCTAATTTCTTAGTGTATATCACAAGAATTCGCTAGCCCCACGATTTACGTCGTAATTCTATACTTTGCGACGCTTTTAAGGTCAACATAAATGTTTTTCAAACACAAATCATATTTCACTTGCACTTGTTACATTAAACAAAAGAATTTGATAATATGTAAACAGTTAGCAAAATAATACTCAAAGAATTTATATTTTGCGCTTTTTGAAAGCAATAAACTCGTACACTCAAATGAACTTGATCTTGACCTACTAACTTAAATTCTGTATTTTTAACTACTAAATAGAACAATAATGGTTATTTCTTGAATCAATTATATTTCATTCTTATATTCAACTAATAATTAATAATTTCTGTTATACTTATATATCGTAAAATCTGTATAGTTTATGTGTTTTTTTTTTGTGCAATATTATGGTAATAAAAAAAAACAATTATATAGAGAACATCATATAATGTGTTAGTATGTATTTTTGAAAAAATTTGTACTTGTCATCTCTTCACATATATCCTAAAATTGATATGAGGTCATTTTCTAGTGATACAAGACAAAAAAAAATCTACTATATACGAATAATTTGTGTAAAACTACTAACAAGTTTATATAACAAAGAGAGAAAAAGGATTTTCTTCCAGAAAAGGGAGTCCTGCACTCCACACAATATTTACTGGATACCTCACTGTTTCTTTAATCTGTTGTCGTCTTAGGAAAGAGAAGAAAAATTGGAATGTCACTGGCGAAATGAAACGATGAAGGCTTCTTATAGCTACAAAACTTGCAAAAGTTTACAAGGATACTGAAGAAGTGACTTAATTATCCCTATTTACCGAAATTCCCCCAAACCGGGACCGACTGTCACCAATGTAAATTAATAGGACAGATTTACGAGAAGTGGAGAGAAGTTCGGGATTAGGGGTTAAGGAACTTCTATGTATAGGGTCCTGTAAATGAACAGAAGAGAGCGAGAGAGTGATGAGCTTGACAGTACAACTAATATAATTAATAGGGTTAGTATAAATGAATCTGTTACCTTATGTGTATATTCGGGCTTCAACCACGACACGTTCAGTCTTCTGGAACTCGGTCAGTTGAGGGTTGCGAACTTTCGAGCTGCCACAATAACCGAACTACACGCGAACTCTGCCAGATGATGCGCGGCCCCCGGAGAATCACCGATTGTCTCGTACTGTTCGCGTACGGGACGCTGTCGCGTCCCAGTCACGGTGGCCCGCTATTACTGACTGACTACTTTTTGTTCGGTTTTTATCAAATGGTGTCCTAGTTGACCGGTTGTAGTCCAAGGTTACGTTTTCGCCGAGTTGTAGTTTTGGCGTTATTGCTGCCTATTTGGGTCACGGGTGTTTCGTGCTTTTTATACGTTTAAACAATTATCAAACAATGCCATAACTAGGTCAATTGTTATACTTTGTATAATTTAAATGTATAAGTTAGCTGTATTAATTATCCCTTATTTAATTTGGAATATATAATAATTATCTCGAATAATAATTATCTTTTCTATGCTATTTAGCCATTATCCCTTTATTCCAACTTCTCACTCACTTGCTACGCTTACATTACAATTACTGACTTAAATATGATATCAACAAGTAACACTAGATAAATATATATTACAGGTTAAGATGTTTAATAAAAATTTACCACACGCTAAGGGGACTGGTGTGTGAATTAAAACCAGTAAAAAAATGTATTAACTCAAATACGACACCACGTGAGCTCAGGTGTGTGTGTGTGTGTGTGCAGATCATGACATAAAATGTAAAAAAAATTATCTACCCTTAGGCGCAGTTTACATACCCGGAAAATGTGTAAATATATAAAATACCTGAGACCGCAATTTCTTTACTTTCTTAACAATGTTATCTGTATGAGAAAATTTAACAAAATAGCGCATAAAACTTCGCTTGAAAAACTAAAGCTCGATAAATACCTCGAATTTATCACATAAAATACGTCGTTACTTGTGTGACTTCCTCAATCGGGGTGTCTTCGAGATTAACAATTTCTAAGTCCACTGAGACGCAGCGGGGGGAAGTCCAATTAAAAGCTGTAAGGGCGAAGTCGTCGCAGAGAACAGTACGAAGGTCGAAACACCTCCCAGGTCGAATCAGGAGCACATGATGGGCTACGTCCAGCCAGGAAGACGAAAATCAACCACCAAACGGTTAAAATCAGGCAATGGGAAAACCAAAACCCAAAAACAAAACGATAACGAAACGAAACTGGAACCTGAACCTGAAGGAAAGAAAGCCATAATTACCATACGGAACTACGACCATTATAGGGGTAATATTATTTAAAAGCAATAAATAAAAACTAATCTAACAGCTATTCATTGATTTAAAAAAAAACCCTCTTAATCATAATTAATGATAAAACGAATTCCAAAAATTAAATACAACTGCTCTAGAGAAAACATGTATGAAAAGATTAAGGAAAATGTATTTTAGTTTCTGGATCTAATCCATTATTTATATTTTTATGTTAAACAGCTGTTTTGAGCTAAATAAAATTTTATCTATTCAATATTTAATTTAATTCATTTGGACTTTATCTGATGACCAAAAAAACTCTTTGTTGATACCACTTGCTGAATTTGAAATCTTGTATTAGAGATGGGACTAAAATAACTACTTAAATAACTCATTATGTATCTGTACCAAAATTAATTTGAATAAAATAGATATATTATTATTACTCTTCTTACTTATCTTATGTTTTTACTCACCCTTGTTAGCCAGACCAAGGGTTAAAGACTAGCCGTAAACTACTTGGCTATCTGGATCGTGATTAAGGCTCGATCTTCGGTCTGTAACGAGAGAGAAAAAAAGAATTTCATTTTTTTTTTCGACACCAGGGACTGGCCACCAAATAACAGATGTCACAAAAACTACATACCTTATTGTAACTGATTCCAAAGATGAAACGTGGCTGGTAAAACCGCCCTTTGGCGAATCTGCGAATATTCCAACACCAAAACAAACTTTTCCGCTAAGGACACAAAGCTAGGGGAACATCCGCTACGTTGTATTAGAATGAAATCCCTCAGGAAACAGCAAAATACAGTTGCCGGTAAATACTCTAATACAGCGACTTATTCCACGCCAATTCACCTAAAGAATGACTTTTCAAACCTAAAAGCCGTTATCCAGCGCTCGTCACACGAAGATTTGCCGACTAGAGCCGAGATTCAAAATCCTAAATTTTGGAACACCAAATCTTACAAAATATCACTAGAAACCTCATATAAATTAATTCCTTCATAAAAAAAGAATTTTTTCCTTAGTTTCTTAGCACTTAAAAAAAATCATTTTCCCCCAAAATAAAATTAATAAAATTTCATTTCTCTACCTTGACTGTAGGCAACCAATATTACATATCTGTTTTTGTATAAACAGAGCGGTGACATCTAACCAGTTGCAAAACTAGAGATGGAGCCTAATGCAACATTTGGAACGTAACATATGATGACTTTTTCTTTCTGTTTTTTCACTGCTTTGCTGTAACTAAGATCGTTATTTGATTTCCACCTTTGGTCACACTGCTCTTTAGTACTACTTTCAGTTTTTAAGACTTCATTTTCTTGTTTCAGTAAGTCTATTATTGTGTCCTTGTCTTCTAATGATGCCTCCTTAGTTTTTAATAACTGTTGATAAAGTTTTATGGATTCTCCATTCTGACATTTGAGACAGTAGAATTTGATGACACGGCTTGATAGTAGTAAGACTTTCACTTCAGATGCTGTTAATTCGCCACATTCTTTACAAATTGCATCATTACACCCATCACAGTCAAAAACATCTTTGTTTTTAACTTTAATTTGCTTACACACATTACATTTCATGTTTGAGGTTAGGTTCGGTAAAAATCAAAAAAATTTCGAAAATATTCCTGAAATATTCACAAATCCACAAAGCTAAATGTATATTTAAACGACTTGAATACTTTAATTTTAAAAATATCATCAAATCTTAACGATGATCGTGGATTTATTTTCACACTCCTATTTAATGTCTTATAACTGACTTCAATCTCAATTGAATAAATTTTGCCATGTTTTTTAATATTTAGTTTAACAAATTCCAAGTCTTGATCACAGGGCATATAAGAATGACCCCTAATCTGGAAATATTGATTCACAGATTCAAACTTTTCAACTTAATTGAGCACTTTAAACATTCTTATGAGTGAGTCATATTTGCTTTGTCCAGCACAACCATCTTAAAATATAATATGTAAATGCTTGACATCTTTGGAGATGTTTGTTTCAAAATAATTCATTAGGAAAGAACATACTTCATTAGATCCTTTTTTTCAGATGTTTTCTGGGTACTCATGGAGCAAAACCTTTCCTGTTTTTAACTCGTGATATCGAAAACTTAACAGTTACGTGATGCAAATAAAAGTTTCCTGAACAGGAATTTGCAGAAGAAACAAATTTTGCATGAAGTCAATACATACTGCAGTAGTAGTATCATTTTTTGACCATTGTTTCAACATTGGTAACTTTTTTGGCTGTATCATTGAATTTTATTTTTACTTCAAGTTCTTTACACTTTAGCAGGTATCAATTTGAGGTCATCCAAGTGACAGATTAAATTTCTCTTTAAAACTTTTGTAGTAGAAGCTATATTTTACTAAGGTTTGTGGATGAAGTTCTTCAAACATATTGTGATTTTATATATGTGCAGTTGTTTGTTACGGTATTGCCTTTTGTTCCTGGTATACTTAAGGTTGATCTGAACCCCCCAAAAGATAAATTCCAAATTCAAAAAATTTGAAAAAAATTGAGAAGGTGTATGAGATGACTAGAAGTATTTTGACAACTTTTAAGCAAACTTCATGTTTTCGTTTTAAAAAAAACTCAAAAAACTACTTTTTTCCAAGTATAAAGTGGGAAAACCAGACATATAATTTTGTTCATTTTTTTTACAGCATCAAGATATAATTATAAGAAATACTTCAGAGTTCCTCTGAAATCGGTACGGGAAGTTAATAATTTTAGTGTTACGGTCAACCAAACAATAAGTCGGTCTACTCAAACACAAAAAGTAGTTAGTAAAGCGAACTCTGCTTTATTATTTATCACAAAAGCTTTTCATAGAATATCTCCAGACTTGTTTTTGAAATTCTACAAAAGTTATGTCAGACCTCACCTAGAATTTGCAGTGTCAGTTTGGTCACCTCATTTGCAAAAAGACATTAATTTATTAGAAGGAGTACAACGAAGAGCTACCTAGCTACCTTTTAATTATGGAAGATTAGACTATGAAACCCGACTAAGAAAGCTCAAGTTGTCTCCATTAACTCTTAGACGAGAAAGATATGATGTCATATCTACTTATAGAATTCTTAGTGGGGAATTTTGGAGGGGGGTGGTAGACTAAGAGGTCATAACTATAAATTGAAAAAGGAGTATTTTAAAACCACCTTAAGGCAAAACTTTTTAGTTAACCGAGTTTTTGATAAATTAAACGGTTTAAGTGATGACATAGTAGAAGCTACTAGTTTAAATAGTTTCAAAAACAAGTTTGATGAAAACGAACAAAATATTGTACCTAGTCTTATGTTAATTATATTGGTTGTGTTTTTTTTTCTTTTGAAGACTTATGTATACTTGGTAATATTTGTATTTTTGTAATTGGCTATTGCCAGAACTTTTTGTAAGTACTAATTCTTTTGAAAATTAATTTTATTTTTTACTTTTTACTTTGTGACATACATATTACATACAAATATTTTGTAATTTGGGCCACACAAGCTCTGCTTTGGCTCGATATCATTATACAATAATAATAATACTCATGTTACTCGTGTTATTCCCAAAAATCATCTAGCGAACATAAAACAGCTGGGTCTAAATGAACATCTTTATAAAGCCATACATAAAGCTGTACTCCTCGCGACGTCCAGATATGTACGAAAATTTTTGGGAGATACTCCAACATACCAAGTCACCTAGGGCTCAATAACACAGAAAGAGTCCCACCAGAGCTCATTCCTTTTGATACCGTAGGTATCTGGAATGAGTGAATTTTCCTCTTAGAGGGAGTGTGAGCCGTATGGCTAAATCTGGATAATACTCAAAAGCAAACTTAATTCCAAGCACATAGTAGAAGCAATATACACATATGCAATGACACCTTTCACATAGTCCTCATTTGGCGTTATAAAATTGTCGAATACGGAAACTGAAGAACTATATAGACCAAATAGAACCGTAATAACTAAATACGCATCAACCACTACAAATAATACATCCAACGTATGACTAACACGCACACAAGGCGGGAGAAGAACAGGGTGTTTTGGAAATATCAAAAATATCCCCCACTATTTTTTTGCCCTGTGGCAACTCTCCTATTATATTTTTTACATTAGATCATAATATATTTAATTTATTAAATCTGTTGGCCATTGTTTCTTCAGTCGTCTTGCGAATTCGGGAGGAGCGTTTAGCAGTCTTGCTTCATCATTTGGATGACTTCTCAGACCATCAAGGTAGCTCTTTGTGATCCTTTGAATTTCTTCCTCTACCAAAGGTGTAGCTGAGTCCTCGTGTAGGGTTTTATTGCTTACATACCAGGGCGCGTTGAATATTATTCTCAATATTTTTGATTGGACTCTTTGTATTATCTTGATATTTGATGGCTTTGAGCAACCCCAGAGTTGAACGCCATAGGTCCAAATTGGTTTTATCATAGATTTATACAGGAGCAGTTTATTTTCAGTATTGAGTTTTGATTTTCGACCCATAAGCCAGCTCATTTGTCATATTTTGATGTTGATCTGGGTTTTCTTGGCTTGAATGTGTGGCTTCCATGTTAATCTTTTGTCAAGGGTTAGTCCCAAATATTTAACTTGTGTGCTGACTGGTAGTTGTGTATCGTTTAATGTGATTGTTGGACATACATCCCTTCGGTTTGTAAATGTAACTTGGGATGACTTCGTTTCATTTACTTTCACCTTCCATTTGTTGAGCCATGTTCCCAATTGGTTAAGGTGGTTTTGCAGTTGTGCAGACGCGATAATGGGGTCCTTGTTGACAGCGATTATGGTGGTGTCATCAGCGAACGTTGAAATTTGGGTTGTTTCAGTGGTTGGGATATCTGCGGTAAATAATAGGTAAAGGAGAGGACCCAGGACGCTACCCTGTGGTACGCCTGATTTAATGGGAAAATATGTGGAAGTTGCTGTGTTATATTTTACTTGGAAGTAACGATCTTCAATGTAGGATTTCATAATTAGGTAGTAGGGAGTTGGAAGAATGCTTTTGAGTTTGTATAAGAGTCCAGTGTGCCATACTCTATCAAACGCCTTTTCTACATCTAAGAATGCCGCTGTACAATATTTTTTTTCCTCAATAGCAGTAAGGATTTTTGTTATAATTCTATGAGTCTGTTGTGTTGTGGAATGTCTCTCTCTAAAACCAAACTGGTGTGTGGGTATTTCTGCGTCTAGGTTAATGTCCTTCTTCAGTCTATCAAGTAGTAGTCTTTCGAAGATTTTAGACATTGTCGGCAACAGGCTGATTGGTCGATAGGATGATGTTTTATTTGGAGGTTTGCCTGGTTTGTGAATCATTATTATTTGCGCAAATTTCCATGTGATTGGGAAATATGTCAGTCTGAGTGCACTATTGTATATTGTAGTTAACATGACCAATGCTCTTCTCGGAAAATTTTTCAGTATTAATCCTGTTATTAGGTCAAATCCAGGTGCTTTGTGGTTATTGCATTTTTCTATTTCTAGTTTCACTTCTGATAGACTGAATGGTGTTATTGGGGGCGTCATAGGGCAAGCACTATCCAGGAATTCTCTTATTAAGTTTCCATCGTTATCATTATCTGCTTGGTGTTCTTTAAAAATATCAGCCAAGTATTCTGCAAATGTTAACGCTTTTTCCTGGTCTGATCTTCCCCAAGTACCGTCATCTTTCTTAATTGGTGGGTTGTGTTCTGTAGGTCTCTTTAAGTGTTTTGTTGCCTTCCATATTGAGTGATCTTCTTTAGACAAGTTACTAATGTAGTGCTCAAATGTGGCATTGCGTGCATCATTTAGCGCTGTTCTTAATTGTCTGGTTAGTCGATTATATTCGTGTTTGTCATTAATATTGCGGCTTCTTTGCCATCTACCTCTTGCTCTTCGTTTTTCGACTATTAGTTGTCTGATATAATTCGGAGTGGTATTTGTGTTTTCTTGCTTTGGAGTTGATGGTGTCGCTCGATATGCAGCTTGTTGAATTTGACAGGTGAGATAGTTTATAGCTTTATCTATGTCATCTTTTTCTTTTAGTCTGATTCCAAGACTTAGATTCATGTCAAGCTGGTACTTGAATTCACACCAGTTAGTTTTAGGGGACGTTAACTTGGGTATTTCAGGTCGTTTCATTATGTGGGTGCTGAGTGTTGCTATGATTGGTGTATGGTCAGACGAGAGATCCCAATTTGCTTCTATGTCTGTGTAGTTTGCTGCAATTCCTTTTAGGATGAAGAAGTCTAGTAGATCTGGTAGTCTATTTATGTCGGATGGCCAGTATGTTGGTTGTCCCGTCGATAAGTAGGTGCAGTTTGTGTTATTGATGGCATCTAATAGGCTTCTGCCTTTTGGTGTAATGAGTCGTGAGCCCCAATTCGTATGCTTAGCATTCCAATCACCTCCAACAATGAATTTGTTACCTAGCTTATTGAATAGTTCTTCGTATTCTTCAGTTGTGATTCTATATCTAGGAGGACTATATATTGCAGCAATTTCGAAGTCCCAAGGCCTGGCATTTATATTAAGTATTGTTGCTTGAATCTCATTTGTTTTATGTTCCGGCATTTGATGGTGTTGCAT